TTGCCCTAAATCGGCTGTTTGATTCGATTTGGAGTATGATATGTATGAATCGATTTAGGGTATGATATGTATGAATCGATATGTACGAATCGATTTGCCCTAAATCGGCTGTTTGATTCGATTTGCTATGTTCAATTTGCAATGTATGATTTGCTGTTCGATTTGCTATTCGAGTTGCAATGTATGATTTGCTGTTTGATTTGCAATGTATGATTTGCTGTTCGATTTGCTGTTTGATTCGATTTGCTATGTTCGATTTGCAATGTATGATTTGCTGTTCGATTTGCTGTTTGATTCGATTTGCAATGTATGATTTGTTGTTCGATTTGCACTGGGGGTAAATTGGTTATTTTAACCAGTTCTGTTCTATCCTGTCATGCCTTACCAAACGCTGAACAGCTGTCATGTCCTGTACTGTCATGTTTGCACACCAAACGCACCCATAATCTGTCTGACTGATATATATATATATATATTGCATATATAGTCGGTGTGTATATATGATTCAAAAAGGCTGATAGAAAAAGAGATGGGTGGTTGATTGGGGATGAGACCAAGTATTAATAAATAACGTTCTTGTTAATAGAAAATAAAATGCTTTTGAAATGACTAAATTGCTCTAAGAGTTAACTCATCTAGCAAATGTTTCTAACAGTGTTTGGGTAAAGGGACCAAAGCGTATGAAAATGTAAACCGTAGAGACGTTTTTCATAATTATTTCAAATTAGGGATGCACAATGTGATTTTTTATAAACCATAAGGACCAATCATGTAATTTACTAAAATTATTTTTGTATTATTACGTCATTATCCGACGTCATTTTTATTTCGTAGCTAAAATCGATTTCACGGTCAACATTACATGGATAAAAACGGTTGACCAGTCATGAGCAGCGCGTGGCGGTTACTATGACGGTAAGAACCCCATGGCCACCCCATCCCACGCGCACCTATCTGTATTCAAAAACAGATGAACATCCAGCATTCACCTTTCCCAAAATCAATTTCCCCCTTTTCTTTTTTTTTTCCCCTCAAGAGCGGGAACCCTAATTTCACTTTTCAAATTTCAAATCCCAGATCTCTCTTCCTCTCGCGTATCTTCTTACACTATCTATGATCTAATCTATGCTTATTCCACTGTTACCGTTGAATTAATTGTAACAACACTTCATCTCCAACTCAGGTACTGTTTCTGCTTTATTATTTGACTTAATGTATCGTAAACTACGTGGTTTTTGTGTTTTGCTATTTGATTTGACGAATTTTGGTTGTGTTTCTTTTGGTCCTTGGAGGATTATAGTTGTTTTTGGTTGGTTACTGATTTGGGGATATTATTTTTACAGAGATGGATTATCGTAGTATGAAAAGGAGAGAGCTTCAAGCTCTATCCAAGGCACATAATATTCCTGCGAATTCTGCCAACTCCGTTTTGGCTGATAAGCTTTCTGAACTTCTCAACGTAATTCTTTTTTCATGCTTTATAGTTGTACTCACTGACATGATGTTCTCTCGGTTACCATAATAAGAGCCACACTTGAATTTTAGTACTAAATGTGATTTATAACTTCATTTTTTGTGCTGAAGTGACTGAAAAATTGATGACTACATCGAACTTTGAAACATACGCACACACATATATAGGGGCTCTTTGTACTAGTCTATTCTCATTGCTCAAAAGTTTGCTTCTTCTGGAACCAGTTCTAGAAATAGAAATTTGTAGTTGGTAATTGGTAAATTGAGAAAAAAGCTGATAATTGTGTTATAGAAAGCAGATTGAACATAATAAATAACGATTGTGATGCCTTTATAGAATACATGGAGAATAGTTACATATCTTGATACACCAACATGCTGGGGTCTTACAGATTGAATGGTCTATATGCTTGGTATAAGGGAAGTTGGTGCAACTGGATAAAATAATTAAAATTTTGTGTACATGTGTCTATGCATGCTTATACCTTGTTTACCAACAGTTTGTCATTTTGTTTTAGACCTTAAACGTCATGTAATAGTGAAGAGGGACAATATTTTTGAAACAGCTAATCATTCCCTTATTATGCTCTACAATATTAAATTCAGGAAAAGCAGAAACCAACATCACGACAACGAACTTGTATGAAGAGCGTGGTTGAAACCACAGATGTGAGTGAACCTGCAGTGTCAAGAAGGCAAACAAAGAAAGTTAGGTTTAGTCCAAATAATGACTTGGTTGAGTATGAACTACGATCTGGCAAAAAAAAGAAGGATATGGTTACAGAGACAGAACATAGGAGGAAATCTGTGGCTAAATCAGTTGTAGATAATATTAATACTGTTGATGGCAGCGTACAAATTCCGGTTAGGCTTACTAGGTCTAGGGTGCAAGGAAAGGATGATTCCATTCCAATTTATGAAAAGAAGCAAGGTAAAAGAACAGTAAAAGTTGTCAGAAAGGAAACTGATGCAGTTAAAGAACTTGAAGGTCATCTTGGTAAAGTTACGAGGTCGAAGGTGCACACATTAGGGAAAGGTGGTGGTGTTCAACTTGATGAAAATAAGCAAAACAAAGGGGCAGTTAAAGATGTTGAAAAGGCCGGTGAGTCAGTTGACAGAACTGAGGTTGGTCGTGTTAGAGTTACAAGGTCGAAGGCACAAATCTTGATGGAGGATGGTGTTGGTCCTAATTTAAATCCGCAAGTTAAGAAAAAGAGTGGCCGAGGAGTGGTAAATGATGTGGACAATGTTGAGCCTTCTAAGGAGGTTATGGATGTCCCGGTTAGAGTTACGAGGTCTAGAGGAAAAACATTAACGGATGATGTTGCAAACATGGTTGCTGTTACCCAAGCTGAGAAGAAAATAACTAGAAGGGAAACAAAGGTTTCTGATCCGAGTAATAATTTGAGCAATGTTGCTTCAGAAAATAACCAAGAACTTCCTAGGAGGAAATCGTCGAGGGGTAGAGGGGTAGAGATTGCTACTGAAGATGTAAGTGAGAAATTGGGGCATGGGAAGCGTAAGAAGAGAAGTGAAGAAAGCACTGCTGAAGTTTCTGAAAGTCAACATCACGCTGACAAGGAATCAAAGAGAAACAAGGCGAAGGTTGAAGATTTTACACTCTTGAATCCGAGTGTCAGTAAAGTGGAAATGGTTGTTGAGAGGAAAGTTACAAGGTCCAAGGCTCTTTTGGCGATGAAATCTTCTGAAGGGAATAATAAAAGCATAGCCAAGAACAAGGTTGAGGTTCAAAGGGAATCTACGATGGCTCAACAGCTTGAGGAACCACTAGAGCATGCAGGTAGGAAAAATGTAAACAGAAGAAAATCTGTCATGCAGCCTGAAAATACTGAAGTGGTTCTCCATCTTGAAGAATATATGAATCGTCCGGCTAGAAAGGACACCAGGCGAAAATCTGCCATGCAAAAAGTGAAGGGAAAGGGAATTTACAAACCTTTGGTTGAAAAGAAGGAAGTGGTAAAAGAAATTAAGATGGTTGAATCACCTAATATTGGAACTCGTAAAACTGCTGGAAAAAGGAAGTCAAAAGAGCAATCTGGCAACCTTTCCGTGCTTGATGAAGGTTTAGAAGATGAAGAAAATGTTACTGGATCAGGAAAAGATGCTACTGAAAATGAAATTAAAGCTGTAGCTAGCGTTACCAGGAGTCATCAATCTAAAAAACAGAGAGGAAACCCTGTTATTGAAGATCAGAACATTGAGACTGTGTGTGTTTCTCCTGTTGATGAATCTCCAAGACGTCCTACACGTAGTGCTAGTAAAAGTGAAGGAAAATCAGTTCCGTATTCATTCCAAAACTTTGTTGCGGGAAAACAGCAGGATAGTAGTGTGACAACACCTGCATTAAGAATGGATAATCAGGGAGCTGTCGAAAGTGAATTTATTGAAGGACACCGAAGTGCGAGCCGAACAATTATAAGTGGTGCAATAATTAAAGATAATAGTTCTAAAAGGAGAGCAAAGTTGAGTGAATCGAAGCCAAGTGATTCGGAGGAGCTTGCTGAAAAATTCAGTACAGAGGGGGCATCAGTTTCAAAGTCGGAGAACCTTGAACTTGATGAAAAAGTTACCGAGATTGCGCGCACACCTGCCATTGAAGAATCTATTAGGCGGCTTACACGGAGTGCAATCAGAAGTGAGAGAAATGCTGCCGCCAATACAACACCAGGGAGAATGACACGCAGTGGAATCAAACATAGAGAAAACGCAGGAAGCAGGCTGTTTGAAATGGTTGATAAAGAGAAGCAGCAAAGCCAGTCAGCTCATCAAAGACAACCTCTTGCTGATGCCCGGATGTTCTCACCTGAAGTTACAGGAGTCGGGGCCCATCCTGATGTGACCAACAGCAGAGTTAATAAGAACAGCAATCTCAGAAAGAAAAAATCCCCTCTAATCATTCAGAAAACGGTACATGCTGACACCATGGGTGTTCCATCTGAAATATCTAAAGAAGCCGAGGATCAGATATTAGAACACTCGGTTGATTTGTCAGTTACAGAATCTGTGAGGTTGCCAACCAAAGTCGCGGAGGAGGATAGGGCTTCTATGAGAGAAGCTGCCATTGTCATGGAAAATGTAAGTTTGGTATCTGCAGAGGATGCTTCTGGAAGAGCTCCTGGGGAAGTTATGGAAGTTGCAGGTGCTGATATTGAAAAATCTCGTGTACAGTTTACATGCAGTGCTGCTAAAAATGAGACAAGTGCAACACCCTATTTGACTGAAAATTTGCTTAGTGGAATGCAGCAAAGCTCTGTGGACCTGCCAAATATTGAAGATGAAACTGGGATAAATTTATCTGATATTAAAGGGACACCTTTCTCGACGGCTGAAGTTGCAGAGACCATGCCTGATGTACATGATCAGAATGAGGAGGTTTATGTGAAATCTGCAACATTTAGTGAAGCTCAAGTTCAGGTAGCCGTAGATTTAGAGAAATCAGTCGTGAAGTCTGCAAGACCAGAGTCATACGTAGAGGAAATGGAATTGACCACAAAGAGGCTGCAAACTGATGTGATGGTTGAGGAACCAGCGGTTTCTATTCCGAGTGTTGATATTTCACCTGGAGTCATCACCAAGGGAAACAATGATGATGCCGACAATAACTCTGATTCCATATCTTGTGAGGCCGGTCCGTCTGCTGTTTGCCATGCGTCTTTCAAAGAGTCATATGATAAGAGTAAGTTAGCTTTTGTTGAATTATTACCTGTCTAAAGCGAGTGATTTGAGTATGATTTTATGTTCTAACTTGCAGGAAAATCGAAAGAGATGGAAGCTCTGCTGGAGCCATCAATGATTGAAGACGACAAGCAATTTATTGCAGATAATGGATCTTATGCTCAGATTGAGAAGGGATCTAAGCAGGATGTGGTAGCCTTCAATGACCCACTTCAGAATCCTTCTGCCGGCAAACAGGAAGTTGCTGATAATGATGCACACAATGATGATGATGATGATGATGAGGGGGCTAATGCTCGGAAGCAATCGATGGATGAGTCTGTTTCTGAGGATAACAGGGTTGATGGTAGCATTGACATGCTTCCGAGTTCTGACATGGGCAGTAGATGTGTTGCAGGCCGAGTGGAGGCACAAGTGATGGATTCTTTGTGGGAGCAATCAACCAACAAGTATGCCAGTCAGACTCCAGCAGAGAAAGTGTATGATACTGAAGCTAATGGAGATGATCCTCTTCAGAAATCAACTGGCGATGATGTGCTTCAGGGTCTTCCCATGGATGAAAATGATATTAAAGATGGCATGGTTGCTACTCAGGACAGTTTAGCTGAAAATGATGTTAAAGATGACATGGTTGCTACTCAGGACAATTTAGCTGAACAAAGTGAGCTGTCAATTGGCAAAAATACTACTTATGTTACAGATGATAAAGTTGATAATGTAAAGGAGCTTAAATCTGAAGTAATGCCATCTGCCAGTAATGATGTATTCCAGATCCCTATTTTGAACAACTCTGATGGCGAAGATGGCATGGTTAATGCTACTAAGGCGTGTGAAACTGATTTAATCCCTTCAACTGCCGGCAATATACTTGAAGATACTGTGCTGAGTAGTGGTAATGGTGAGGGCGTTAATGCTAATAAGGAACATGAATCTAACTCAAAGCTGTCAACTGACAATGATGATGACTTTAACATGACTATGGAGGTTGAACCCATTTCAGAGCCATCTACTACCAATGACATACTTGAGACTCCTATCTCAGGAAATGGTATCGATGATGAGTGTGATAATCCTAATAATGCTCTTAAATCCAATCTGAAGCCATCAACTGGTTATGATCTGTTTGGCACTGCTGTGATGAGCAAGGATGATGAGGAAGATGACGGTATTTATGTGCCTAATGAGCTTGAACCTGGTTTAGGGCCTTCAAACATCAGGAACTCTCTGGAGATTCCTGTATCAGGTAATGGTGTTGATAGTGAGTGTGTTGTAGATGAAAAAACTGATGGGCAGAACGGAGAATCTGAACCGGAACCATCAACAATCGATGATAATCCTGCCATGGATGAACATGATGTTGGAGATGATGAACCAGAGCTTACCCAAAATGAAAATATGCCTGTGGAGCTTGAAGTTTTAATCAGGTCTTCTGACAAAGAAGCAGAGCCAGTGTTGAATGTTGCTGTTGATGAAGTTCAATGTGATATTGTTGATGTATGTGCTTCAGTTGAACGATCTGATTCATCACCACAAACTCCTGCTACAAATGGAAATGGCATTACGGACTTGGTTGTAGACATCAATAAGGATGCTGTCTCTAAAACTTTGGGTGATATTGGTACGTTATTTGGATGTTTTTCATAGCAATCTGTCTCTTGGAAATGCTAAAAACATACCCATATGTTTTTTTTTTCATTGTGCAGATTGGCTCGAGAATTCAACAGGAGTCATTGACACCAAAAACGATACCAGTTTTTGTGGGAGTGAGCAGAAATCAAAAGAAAGTGAAAGCATTTCTCCTGGTATGAACAATGAACAGGGAACAGAAGAGGCTGAAATGATGATACAGAATGATCATGTGTCAGGTGATAGAAATGCTTTGGATAGTGACAAATTCAAGGAAGATTGTTCAAATCATGGTGTAGATGAAGAAAATATAGGAACTCCCGAGAAGCCAACCAGAGATGAAACCTCACCAATCGTATATACACAAGAAAAACGTGCGACTATTAAAAAATTTCTAGTGTTCTTTATGGGTTCAGTTTTTATCGTTTTTTACTTGGTTATTTGTTTAATTTTATCCTCAGCTAATGTTGATAAATTGGGTTCAGATCGATTTACCGAAGATATTGGAGTTCATAGAGGTCCAATTACAGAAGATAAGGAAGAATGTGAGACTATTTAATATTTTGTATAATTTGGTTAACCTTACCTTTTTATATTATTGTTCATTTACTTTTTGTGATCCAGGTTCAGTTGATGATACAGTTTCAGATCCACCTACTTTCTTCAAGGACGATGATATAAACATGCAAGGTAGTTTCATATTCTCTCTGTCTTGTAGTATGGTTCATGATTTTGTAGCAAATGAATTGAGTACTTTTGCAGAAGAAACTCAAGAAGCAAGTACTTGTGTGGATTTGGGGAATCATAGTTTTGGAATAGATGAATATCAGAAACCAGATTCAGCAAATGAATGTGATGATGCACTGGCTGAAATCATGAAAGGTGGATTCTGTGGACTAATTTCTTGTTTCATTATCTATACACACACACTAAAATCCTTAAAAATTGTTGATCAATAGATGACCGAGTTTCATATCTCCAAACTTCTGCTAGAGCAAGTTCTTCCATGGAAAAAGGTTTTAGTCCTGCAGCTGAATTGGCCAATTCAGTAACGGATTTGGAAAAAGCTTCTAGAAATACGGCTGATGGAGGATTCAATCAAGATACTGAAGAATTTCTCAACTGGTCTGGTGAGTTTAATATTTGTTGTTCTCACATTGGTTGGAAATTGACCATCAAACTTGTTTGTGTGTGTGTATATATATAGGGAGCTTCAGGGGGAAATCCTAAAAAAATTAAAAATTGAGGAACACCATGGTAACCATAACCATTCATCTGGATGGTATGTACATGTACATACAAGTAATTGAAGTTGTTTCTTGGTTTGTATGCACATGTGCATACGGGACAAATTTGCTTAAAAATTACTTGTATATGTACATATCGTCTAAATGAATGGTTACTAGGGTGTTTCTCATTTTTTTGCTGACCACATATATACACAGGGAGGGAGAAAAATTCCTCTTTTTATAAGGGGTCCTTAGGGTGCTTTTGGTATGCAGACATGACAGAACTGGAAGGGGAGAGTGCGGTAGGCAGGTGAAAGAAATTGAAGATTTAACTGTTTTATTTTGACATGAGTAGTTTAATAATTTACCAATCTTGTCCGTCTTATTGATTTTTGTTCTACCAATTTTGGTCAAAGAAAACGAAATAACTTTTTTTACCTACTCAGCCCTATCATTTTCCAGTCTTATGTCGCACCAAACATGGCACAACTTCTTTTTGTCAATTGCCGCATGCCATATGAGCCCTTAGAGAGTGAATGAAAGGGGTTCCACATATTCTCATAATTGTGTCTCCATTTTTCATCATCTAGTTTTTGCTTTACCAAGATGATAAATCTGTTCTACAAACAAAATCCGATGGTTTTTTTTCCCTCGAGTGCAGATTCGTCCCTGAAAGCATTATTTACAACACCAACCACCAATATAACCAGTAATGTAAAACACGATGAGGAGGATGCAGTCCGTTTTACTTTCTCTGATGATAGGTCTTGTGACGATATTGAGATAGCGGGACGCAGAGCTCATGATTTTGATCATCAATGGGAGAGTGAACCGTTTGATGGCGAGTTCATTACCGATTCATCATTTGGTTTGATTTTTTGAACACTTGTGGACTAATTATTCAATTTTTTTTATCATTGTGTAGACAAAACACAAGACCCTGCAACACAGAGTCCAGAATATGGAGTTTCAAACTTTGAAGAATTTTCTCATAAATATTTTGTTGATGGTTCAAGTGACATGTCTATGGAGAAGGAGAAGAAAGATAAGCCCAGCTGAATGGCTCAGAAACAGGCCACATCATTTAGCTTAAAAAGGTACATCATACATCCTTTCCTTTTCCATTGTCTTTAAAAATTATTGACTTTGGTAAAGAGAAGAGCAAATCTTTTTTTTTAATTAACCTGAATATCCAACCCGTTATGCGAGCCAACTAATCCTAGGGGGACCACCTGCTTTGCAGATAGCCCGGAGTTACCGCATTTGAATCTCCGTGGCTACAAGGGGATTTTTATTCCTACTTGGATTTGAACTTGGGACCTCTTGGTATTTTTGACCTTTGGAGCCAAGCTCAAACCAATCATGCACCACCCTTGTGGTTGCAAATCTTTATTTTTGATATGATATCTTGAAACATTTAGGTATCTAGTTTACCATAGTCTAATTGTTTGAGATATCACATCTAAGGTACCAAAATGGAAGTTCTGGATTTATGTTAGGAATCAAATCAAAGTATGTTGCATTTTCATGCAATTTGTCCAACTAATATTTTAGCACTCGAATTTTCACTATCTACTTAGAATAGCATTCATTTACTTGTGCTAAATTTTAGCACATTGGTTGGAGATGGCTGATCACGTATGTTGCAAAATTTTGATTATAAAGTATTCTCTGCCAGATAACAACGTTGCTTTCGCGATCAATGCGTTATTATTCTAACGAGCGACGTGAATGAAGAGACCGATGGGTTAAATGGTTGCGTGCGTGCGTGCATACCAACGTTGTCAAGTAATAAACATGTCATAGTTTGTTTAGATGAATTAGATAGGGGAGGATTTGAGAGTAGTCAAGCTATTTTTGTATTTTCGACTACTTTTGTAATTACTTGTTATCTTTACTTATTTGTGGTTTGTGTTGGAGTTGGTGTTCTTTTAAATGTTTCGTTGAAATTTTTTGGATTCGGTTCCTCTAAACAAAATAATTTACATGTATAGTTGCTATGGTTTCATTTTTATTGTAGATTGGATTCCATGTCTTGGTAACATTACTTTCATCAAGTCAAGGACATTTTTGTCTTTTTACTAATTTTTTTTTTCTTTTAAAAAAGTAGAAGTATATCATATAATATACATAACAGACATAAATACAAACTCAAAACCTTACAGACCGACTCGTCGGCTGCCTCGTTTCATCTTCTTCGATCTCCGTCCCCCTCATCCCTCCCAGTACATCACTGCCCTTCCCTTCTCTCCCCCACTCCAACAATCTCACTTTCAACCTGTGTTCTGTAGATCCCCTCCATCGTCACCATATTCAAGTTTCTCTTACCACTATTGAACTCGGACCCCCTCCATTGAACCCAAATCGAATCCAAACCCCCTTCATCGAACCCAGATTTAACTTTTACTATCTTATGTAGATCCCCTCAGATCCATTGAACCCAGATCGAACTCGGATCAAGGGGATTTTTATTCCTCAAGGACAATATTATATTATCCCTCACTTAACAAAGTAAAAAAAGGTTAGTGGAGTTAAATTAATTCGTTTAAGGACTCAATCCAAAATTTACAAGGATGAAATATGTAATTTACTAATCCCATGACGACTATCTGTTTTGCGGGTAGTTTGAAGTCACCACATTTGAATCTTCGTGGTCACAAGAGGATTTTTATTCCTCATTGGATTTGAACCTTGACCTCTAGACATTTTCTTTAAAACGGAGAATGTATGAGAGATTGTAAGTTTATTAAAAAGAGAGGAAAATAGTCTTTTTATTATTTTAACTAATAAGAGTTACTCTGGAATTAAATGTTCAATAGAAAGAAATACTCTCTCTGTTTTAAACTAAACGTCTATAATGCAAAAGGTATGTAATGATCATTACAATTTTTAATTAACGAAAAGATGTTTTTACTCTTAGGGGGCGTTTACCAAACGCTTACTCGAGTAAGTAAACACCAAGTCACATTACCTTACCGGATAAATATGGTAAGGACCAAGAATCTTACCCGGTAAGAGCGAGAGACCAAGAGTCTTACCCGATAAGTGAGGGCGACGACTCTTACCATGGTAAGCGCTTACAGGGTAAAATTATTGCATACGATACCGTTTTGATGAACTAAAATCTTACCCGTTAAGTAAATGATAATGTTAAAGTTTACAGGTAAACCGAATAACTGTTTGGTAAACGGCCCCCTTAGTGGGAGATATTCTTTTTCGTCTCATAATTAAGGGATGAATTGGGAAAGTAATATTTTATTAAATATAATCAATATATTAATAATATAAATTAATGTTGTACTTTTTAACACGAAGAAGTTGATGGAGTTTAATGTAATCATTTTTGGAGATTTTAATTTTTGATTCTTCATTTTGAATTTTTTTTAGAATATTTGTTAAAAATGCACTAACCTTAACAGATATATAATCAAGAAAAAATTACAAGAATATAAATTTTAACCTATGTTGTTTGATGCAGTTAAGAAAATAACTGCAAATTTACTTAAATACTACTACAGAGAGTATTTTAGAAGTGCTAACACGATAACCAAAAAACACTTCCATGATAGTAATGCATACATGTTGGTGATTTTAGTGAAATCATCGGTTCATTTTAAGGTAATTGGATTCACGAGAGAATAATGGTGTCAGGAGCTAGAAAGTTTGAAGTGCACACTCGCGTAAGGTAACTGGAACCCGGAAACGTTGGATGGCTTTGTATAGTCAGTTTCAAAGTGGTAGATCGCAGTACATGGGCTGTGTGTTTTTGGTCATCAAAAGAGCACGGGTTGTGCTTGGAAACAGAAGGTTGTGCAAGTGTTGTGTGCTTTTTTCATATGAAGCACGAGCTGTGCGTTTATCGTCAATGTGTTATCAGCTGATCGGTATAACATCAACTGATAGGCATATCAGTTGATGGTTTTGCGACTGACGGGGTCCTCAATCGATGACTTCAGCTGATGGTTTTGCTTATGATATATTATTAGCCAATGGATTTTGCTACTGATGGGGTCATCATCTCATGGTCTTCCCATTGATAAGTTATCAGTTGATGGTTTTCATCAATTTTATAACTCATCTGTTTTGTAACTGTTCACTCCTTATTTTCAACAATCAATTCCATTTAATATGAACTATTCTTCAAGTTCAAAAGGAAAGGTTTCTGCCAAAATCGGGACTGAAAATTTGAGATTATCCTCGACTGGAATTTCGTGATACTCAGATAGATTAAGTTAAAATATCATTTAAGGAAAGCAAAGTCTCAGATAATCTCAAGTTGTTATCCAAATTTATTCGGTCTTTGTTTTCTCACAATGTTTTGGAATTCCTCCAACAATAATTACTTGAAAATAAACTCATGGGTCTTAAAATGGATATAAGAAAGAAAAACAAGATATAGATGGGACAGGTATCGCACTCCCTGTTCCACGATGTACTGGTTATATATATATATATATATATATATATATATATATATAGAGAGAGAGAGAGAGAGAGAGAGGAGCGATCAATTGCAAACCACCCTCATTTGTGAAAACCTTACAAACCAATCTCATCAATCTATTTTCTTGATCAATGGTCAAGATTAAATATGTTTATATTAAGAAATAAAAAAGAAAATAAAAATAAGAATAAAAGTTTAATTTTTAATTAAAAAAGGGCAAAATTGTCAAAATTTTAATTTATATGATTTTGTAAACGAGGTAACAAGATCGTGGATATCCTAACATTAATGAAACAAAATCATTGTTTTAAAATCTCTATATATCATTTTATCATTACAAAGATTTTAACAAAAAATGTTAGAATAATCTGATAAATTATATGTTTGATAAAAATTATCTTCATTTTATGAC